AAAATGATCATTACATAAAATGGGTGTCACTCACTTCCTTATAAAGGAAAGACAACTAATTAGACACATACAAAGGAGTAAGCATACATGACATCCAACAGTGACTTTGCATCCTAATAATTATTATATTTTGCCAGCCATTAACTTGGTCAGGCGTTGCCCTCGTATACATCGAATCATGTGAATATATCATATATCGTATATTAATATATAGAGATATACTATATAGAGTGAAGCGTATGTAAATACTTATTTGAGTAAAAATATTCAACCACCTCGAGTCACGTGTTTTAATTAATTAATTGATATAATACTATAACTTTTTTTAATTAAAAGTAATTATATAAACAATTATCATATTTTAAACATATAACGTATTTATTCAGGTGAAAAAAAAATAAACACACGGGCTTAACAAAAAATGCTCTAAGAATGAGCAATCTTGTCATTCTACTCAATTGAAAGAAATAATAATTAGAATCCTAATTATTATAAGAAAGTAAAAAGACTACATGAAAACACACAAATAGAATACAAAAACTTCATCAAAAGTGAAAAAAAGATTAACAATAAGAATAAAAAGACTACATATATTAAATCAATAACAAACCTTATTACAAAAGAATTCAAATGTTTTAGGACAATATATTCATTGGTATTATTTGCAAGAAAATGAAATTATACATACATATAGGTAAAGAGATATTATGAGAAAACTTTGAGAGTATAATACCTTCTATCTCTACCTCTACCTCTTCTAATAAAAGAGTAAGTTGCTTATGCCATGTGTCGATTTTCTAGGATTTTCTAGAGCTTATGCCACGTGTCGTTTTTTTGGAGCTTCTTTCTCTTTCTTTCCCGGTCATTCTATCTGTTTGCATTGATAATTGATAATTGAAATTGATATAAATGATCATAAATTGATTGATTTCTTTAAACGGTTTCCCTAAATATCTCCTCAATTTATGCATAAAGTTATGTCTAATTGACCGATTTCTAATTTCAGCTCACATTTCAAATTTCAATTTAGGCTAATGGCAACACATCTATGTTCAATTTGAGGAGAATGACGAGGCTTCTTTTCTCTCTCTGTTTTCTACACCCGCTCTGTCCCCGTCGTTTGTTGCCGACAATTCCATCACCACTTGCTTGTAAGTCTAATTTCGAGTTTTATTTGTAGGTTTTCTTGTCCAGATCCCGTTTTCACATATGTGTATTTGTATTAAAAATCTTTTTTTTTTATCGTATTTCATCATAAATCCAAAGAGTTTGGTTTTTGGTGTTCTCCACTTTTCTTGCATTCATTATCCACTCCTCACCACCACCACTATTTGTACCGGTCACCGCTACAAAAACACTAGGTTTTGACATTCAATTTGGGATTCCGACTTTAATTTTTACCCCCAATAAACCAGGATTCGATCAACAGCAAACATACATTTTTTTTTTGGATTTTGTAACCGGCGATATTAGCATTTATCAATGTTTAAATACATTTTCTGTTTATACAAATGAAGGATGGTTGTACAAATTTTCAAGAAGATTTTTATAATTTATAGAACTTGAGCTAAATTAATTCAAACAGACTCACATGTATGCTGATGTGTTGAGTGATAATATTGCAGGTACAGACATTACATTTTGATGTTCTCCTCACAAATTATGATATAACATTAATTGATGAGGACTTTCTTTTCCAAATTCAGTGGAGTTATGTTGTTAGTGGAGTTATGTTGTTATTGATGAGGCACAAAAACATAGGTATATTGTATATTTTCTTATTTGATTATTTATTTATTTATTTATTTATTTTGCTTTCTTATGATTTAAAGTCATATTGACATATTTTTATGGTTTTTCTTGGTTTATGATTTGTTTGGGATCCTTTTTCAGGCCGCTAGCTATTGTAAAATGAAGAATTTAATACGAACTTCTGGCCAAGATAAAAACATGTAATGATCTTTCCAGAGTGTTTCAGTTTTACCTTTGTTGTTATGAACTTGGGGCCAAAACTGTCATCAAGGTCTTCTATCACTGAGTATGGAACCTTTATTTATTTTGATTTTTCAGACATTAGGATGACCCAATACACTTTCTGTGTTTCTAGACCTTTGTTTTCAAGTTCATATGAGTTATCTTATGAAATTAATCACTAATGTAATGTGTCATTAAGCTTTAATTAGTTGGACATTTTTAGCAAGCAATCAATGATTCAGCAGTGATATGTTGTTCATCTGGATGATTTTTTTGGTTATCAGGTGCTTTTTACATGATTTTTTTTTTGTTATTAGGTAGTTTTTACAAGATTTTTGGTCACCAGGTTATTATTTTTATAGCACTTTACTTTGATGTTTATATTATTCCTATAATTTTTTATATCATGATTTTAGTTCGGGTTAATTTCACGTGGCTTTTGGTGATCACATTGATTTACTTGATTTTTTTGGTCATAAAGTGGTTACTATTATAGCATTTTACTTTGATGTTTTTATAGCATCCTATGAATTTTCATAGTGTGTTTCCATTTGTCTTGGCTTCAGATTCAATGAAAGCTGCCAAGCGATAACTCCATTATCATAATGTGATGTTGACCATTATACCCTTTTTAAAAATTTTGTTACAGAGACTCAAAGAAGAAGTTGGCAATCTCATATCTATGTGTTGGTGTTATGCTCAATGTTCATGTGGCAAGAAACAAATGCAGTTCATGAGTCCTATCTTTAACGAAGGGGAGTCACTTTCACAGATGGATATTTTTCATTCAAGATCGTGTGCCCTAATCCAAACTTTCGGTAAAAACTAAAATCGCAGTATTTTTTATAATTGTAAATGTTGTTTTTTTTTTGTTTTTACATTGATATATTTTAAAATAACTTATGTTCAATAATTGTTTCTCCTTCCAGCACAATTCATCCTTCCTACTTTCCACTTGAAGTTGTAACATATGAACAATGGTCAAAATTAAAGCAAAAAAAAAAAAGTATATCTGGCTGGCAGTTTCCTAGACCATTTTTTCATTATTTTCCCCTCCAATATAATATTATGGATAATTTTGGCAAGTAGTTCCTATATTATTAATTGATACCATATATTGATTCAAATTCAAAATTTCTGAATAATTTGGTTACATTTTAAAATTTTCCTTCATTATCCCTTTTATGACATCAGGCTACATAATTACAAATTATAGTAAGTTGATATTTTTATTCTATTCAGAATTTGAATATCTTCAACAAATATATTCCTCAATTTACATTTATGATATTACAAATATATTTCATTGTTATCTACGTCTCCTCCCAAAACCACAACCTGACATTTTACATTTGCCGTTTCAAGCATCCTTATTTTTTACAATCTGATCAACCTATTGTGGTTCTAGAAAACCACCATTCATCTACAGAGAAGTTCAATATTAGGTAAGTCCATGGACTTCTTCTCTGTTCATTATTTGAACTTGTTGTTTGCATGGCTCTTTTTGTAAAAAAAAAAAAAAAACAATTATTCTTAGTTATAACAATGTACTTTCACAATACATTGGTGTAATTCATTTCGTCCATTAATGTTTGTGTTATTATGTATGTGTCTTACATTTGTTTGTGTTTGAGTTCTTTTATTGTGAAAAATAAATCGATTATTACAAATTATAACAATGTACTTTCAATGTACATTGCTATAATTTGTAACCCTTCATACTTGTGTTCTTCTGTATGTGTTATATTTGTTTGTTTTTATGTGTTGTTTCTGTGAAAATAAAATATTACCAATTATAACTATTTACTTTCAAAGTACCTTTTCCAATGCCATTTAGTAAGATAAGGTCAATGATATTAAGAAACTGTGAATTTTGTTTAATATATGCATTATAATAACAAATTAGTATATCTCATTCATAAGAACAATCAACCAACCCACACAATTTTTTTAACTAAAATGGTCAACTGGGTTTAACAACCAATGATGATCTGGTAGATTGAATTTGTAAAAGAATTATAACCAGGGTCAATTTTAGTAAATAATCCTTAACTGGTTTTTGGAACAGTGATATTAAGAAACCGTGAATTTGGTTCTTGGATAAATGATATTGAAATTGTGAATTTAGTAAATAATCATTAAATGTTTTTTGGATCAATTTTAGTAAAATACTACCGTCATTTTTTTCCTATTTTTCCTATTGGTAGATATAATTGTTCTTTCCTTTTGGTAAAAGAAAATATTTTTCATTGAATTTTCAATGAAGGTTGGAGTTTGTATATACCATTTCTTTGGATTTTAACTAAATCTAAAGTCAAATTGAAAGTAAAAATGAATACGATTTAAATGGACACAATTTATATTACTGTGAATTTAAAGTACAAGATTAATATACACATTCATATAAATTTTCTGATTTTCTAAACAAATAACTTAATACTACATCATTTGATTCCAACATATCATTTATTCATCAAATATTTCTATATTCCTTAAAGTGTAAATTGACCATAAGTTATATGAAATACATATTTATTTACACCTAATAATCTAATATTGCAAATTTTTGATTAATCATTACAATTTCAAATTGTAAATAATGGTTTTTTTCTCAACCGTGGTTCCCACGGCTATAACCTAGTTAAGTATATATAAGTTAAAAAAATAAACATGATTTAATCAATTTCTTTCATAAAATATCATTACGTATATATAAATTACAAAACTATTGAATTGTTATTATTAATTAGGTGGAAAATTAAAAGTTTTGGAGGTTTAAATGTTTTAAATTTAACAACTAATAACTATTGATTGTATCCAAATCGACCTACTTTTGGCGTTTCAATTTTTAAGAGTTCAATCAAACACCAGGCAATTGGGGGTTGAAATCATAAACTTTCAAGTCCCACTAAAGGTTGACCAATTCACTTGAAATCATCGCGGAACATGAACATGGTTCAATATAATCATTAAAGCTTACAAACGAACAAACTCTCAGAATCAAGAGTTTATTCAAATTTCAAAGATCACTTTCCATCTATCCCCTTGCTGTATGAATCCTCATATAACCTCCTGAAATTATTACGCGTCAAACTCATCCCGGCCATTTCATGTGCATCAGCAACCTCACGGCCGGTGGATGCCCCAGTTTGAGATGGTTCTCGTCTGCCTAAGTCGTTCAACGACGGTGGTAGTCCATCACTATATATCTCATTGCTTCCCGAAGGTTGAGAAATGACCACCGGCCTTATAGCTCCAAGAGACGGTGGTTGACCACCGCCACTGTACCAATCGACATAATCTATCCCACGGCTGAAAGTCCCAGATTGAAACTGATTAAGCGAATTCTGTTGACCATGGATATCAGCAGTTATCGGATTGCCGCCGATTGGTCCTCCGATGGCTTGCTCAACTACGCTGGTAACGACCTGGGTCTGATCCTGATCTATGGCTAGTATCGCCGCCGATGGAAAAGGTGGAGGTGTGTTGCCGGAATACATTTTGGAGATATCTGTTGGATTTAGAACACGGTGCATAATGATTATATAGCCCGAACTCTACACAGTACACACCGAAAAAGGAAGCTGCATAGGAAAGACGCCGGGTTTGAGGTATTCAACGTCAACGTCAACTCAATGCAAGGGTTTTTAACTTGTATTATATTAGTTATGAAAATATTTATTTTGTTTCACAACAATAAAAGAGAAGATAAACAAATGCGTAAGTGTAATAATATTAAGCATTTCTTTTCTTGATATCCTAAAAGACGATACAATATTTCATGGAAAAATGCTACAACTACAGCATCAAGATTGATAAACATAAAATAAGTAATAAATTAAAGAAAAAAATAAAATACGCGAAAAAATAAAATAAAGATAAAAGTCGATTTTGGTGAGATTTATGATGCCATGCTAACATATTAATATAACTTGGATAATGGATATGATGTTATGTACGTCAGGACGTCTCCATTTCGTCATCAATCTGGCCCATTCCTTCGCCCTGGCCCTTCGTAGATTACATGCTGATTACTGTCCTATTTTTCTCGACTCGAGGAACAGGACTTCGGCCCAAGTCCATTTCGAATTTTCACCTCCTGGTTATCCGAAGCTAGAATTGGCTAGAATTGATGATGTGGTTAAGAATAGTTGGTGCAGAAATCATGTTTGGATGCATTCTCCAAAATTGTGAGAATTTCAAGGAAGTCAAGTAGAAAGTGACATCAAAGGGTGGAGGTCAAAGATAAACGAAGAAACCCAAAAATGGTTCGAGGAAGTGAAGAATTAGGTCATTGCCATCATTTGTATAGCCGAATTTGCATTTATGGATAATAATGTGTTGAAAGAAAGATCTGAGTGCATTTTGAAATAGAGGAATTAGAAGAGAAAAAAGTTCAAGATATCAACCAAAAATCCTGTTGTAAGTGAACACCGGAGGGGGATGAGAACACACCACTACAAGAAATGCGAGCATTAGGGGCGACAGGCGTCGCCGCTAAAAGGTAGGCTTGTCGCCTCTAAAGCCTTTTGCGGCAACACGTCGCCGCTAAAAGGTCGTCGTTGTAGCCTCGTTGCAAATACTTCACATGACGCCGCCAATGCTCTCTTATGTCGCAAATGATACGTCACCGTTAATGTTAACTGTCGCCGCAAATGATCTGTCGCCACTAATACTAAAGGCGTTGCCGCTAAAATAATTTCCGTTTTTTATTTAACATTTAATTTATAAAATACAATATAACATTTATAAAAACTACTATGAAACTTAATTTTGTAGAAAAATAGTTCGAAACATTAACCACACTTAATACTATATCTAATCCAAAATATTAATCCATACACATTCGGTCCAAAATATTCATCCAAACAGAGTGCAATATATCCAAAATACTAACTCAAACAAAACATTTCATAAATCTTAAAAAACTAGCTACTCGTCCTCATCACTCCCCTCGTTTCCTTCGTTTTCATTTTGTGACGGCAATGAGCGACCTTCCAGTGTCGCTCTTTTAGCATTGTTTGCAACATTTCCAACTACAAAGAAAACAAAATATATTACCAACATATCATAATAGCATTGTACTTTCCAAAAATTACCAAAATACAAAATACCAACATATCAAACTATAACCAACATATCATTATAGCATTCTGCTATCCAAATACACTTAAACATACATCATACACAATACTCCATATACATTATATCATTGTACTTTTTTTCCATTATAACATTGTATTTTCCAAAAAATTACCAAACTACAAAATAACAACATATTAAACTATAACCAAACTACATGATACACAATATTACATATACATTATAACATTGAACTTCTTTTTTTCAATTTTCCATTATAGCATTGTACTTTCCAAAAATTACCAAAATACAAAATACCAACATATCAAACCATAACCAACATACCATTATAGCATTATACTTTCCATTATTGCATTGTACTATATACTAAACAAACAATTATCAACATATCATTATAGCATCTTACTTTTTTTCGTTTTTTTATTATAGCATTGTACTTTCCAAAATTACCAAATACAAAATACCAACATATCAAACCATAAACAACATATCATTACAACATTCTACTTTCTATTATAGCATTATACTATATACTAAACAAACAATTACCAACATAACATTATAGCATCCTACTTTTTTTCGTTTTTCCATTATAGCATTATACTTTTCAAGTTAAACTAACAATTACATTTGATTGTGGTGGTGGATGTGTAATCGGTTGTTCCTGATCGTACATAGACACAACCGTAGAAGGTTTACGCCCAATGCCTCTAATATTCCCGCGTTGAGAACCCAATATTCTTTCAAAACAATTTTTTATATCATTTGGTGTTAGTGTGACATCCCCATTTTCACGGCCAGAAAATACCGATTTTGTTTATGCTTTATAAAAATCAGAGTACTTCTTTTAACAAAAATGTTGCGGAATTTGTTCCCAGAAAACATGATAGATAGCTTATCAAAGCATTTCCGAGGAAATGTATTTTTATTCATTTTCAAAACATTGGGATGTCATTGTCAATACAGAAACATAAGCATAAACAGAACTTACATTATTTACACTAGTGATCTACATCTCTTTTAAATCTCTCAGTGTAAAGTAGCTTCATATCGACACCTGTAATACAAATAAGCTTGAGTGGGTCAGGTTGGGAAACCTGGTGAGTACATAGGGTTTTCAACCCACAATAATATAATTATTATGTTTAAACAACAAACAATCAACCCCATTTACGCATCCCCATTGTCTTCCTTACTCTCAAGGGTCTACCTTAAGAGTCATCTATTCGTTTATTCCGAAGTCCCTTGCTTCCAGGGTTATAAGACCGGCACTAAGTCCATAGCTGTCAATGCAATAATTTCATAGCTGCAAAAGTTCATTCATCGGGTACTAAATCCATAGCTACCAGTGTAGGTACTAAGTCCATAGCTACCAACGTTTATCTACCAGGTACTAAGTCCATAGCTACCAACACCTAACAAGTACTAAGTCCATAGCTACCTATGTTTACCTAATAGGTACTAAGTCCATAGCTACCATTGATTGTCCAATAGGCACTAAGTTTATAGCTGCCAATGTTTACTCACATCATCTTTTATCTCTCATCATTCATCTACCCATGTTATACCCAACATATTTGTAGATATAAAATACATATACAGTTTAAATCATTTAAAACATGTATAAAAATCTTTCACCCAGCATAGACAAAAAGTATTCAGACAATATGCACACATAACACGTAATTTAAATAAAATACTTCATATCTATGTGTAAGATGAAAGTAACTTTGCACTCACTTGAAAGGTGGTGACTTGGAACTCGGACAGCGCTTCGTTATCTCAAAACAATTTTCCCTTGACAAAACCTAGTATCAATACCACTAGGGTTTAGTCTAAAGTTAACCGTGACTAATTAATAGTCTAGCTATTATTATTATTATTATATAAGCGTTAAACAACACCCTATATAACTCATAATAATAGCCCCAAATAATTATTTTAAAGTCCTAATAATGTTTCTATAATTAAATAAAAGCTATATTAAAAATAGCGTAGGCGTAGCTCACTTACAGCGGGTTTTATAGAAAACCGGGCTTCGCTTGGAGCAGCATTTCCAAACCGAAAGACCCTTTTTCTCGGGACTCCGGGAACCTCGGGGCTTCCTTCGGGTGCTAAGGGAGTTCCCTCGGGTTTAGGAGGGTTGCAATGGGTTAGAGAGAGAAAGAAGTTAGAGAGAGAAGTGAGAAAGGTGTGAAAATCCGAGAGAATTTGCAACCTATTTATAGGATGGAGCAGCTTCGGAACGCTGGGCGTTCAGCAGGTTACGCGGGGCGTAACTTCGGATAGGGACGACAAGTGGCGAAGGCTCGGTGGTGCGACGTGGCTTAAGCTGGACCGAGGGAGGGCTCGCGTACGCGGCGCGTTCGGAAGAGGCTACGCTGGGCGTAATGCGAGGGTGACGTGTTCTTCATCCGAAGCGAGGCGTGATCAGCAAGCGACGGCTAGGATCTTGCCACGTCAGCACTTCTATCATCAGCTTCGCAAATTCAAGTGAAATCTTAAAAAATTCGTAACACTTGCGTACGATCTCCGTTTTTGACGTTCTTTATATCCACGCGTAGGCGGGAACGTACTCTACAACTTTTGTTTAGACTCCGTCGGCTAATTTTGACTGTATTTTAAAAGTTATATTATTAACAGGCCGGGACAGGATTGGTCCGTTAAAAATTCATAACTTCTTTATCCGATGTCCGTTTTCGTCTATCTTTTTATCGTTATGCTACTATTAACGAGATCTTCGATTCTCGTTTAGGTTGTTTCAGATAAAAACCACTCGATCTTATATTCGAATTTCGGGTTGTACACTGCTAAGCCGAAACTTCGAAAAATCATAACTTCCTCATACGAAGTCAGATTTAGGCGTTCTTTTCATGGACGCTCTCGGTTTAACGTATTCTACGACTTTCGTTTAGGTCGCTAAGGCTAAAAGTCGCTCTATCGTAAATTCACTATTTACGCCTCCCGGTGCTGTGCCGGTTCCGTCGCGAAACTTCGACGGGTCATAACTTCTTCGTTATAACTCGGATTTCGGCATTCTTTATATGTACGGTACCCTTGTGACATATTCTACAACTTGGTTAAGATTACTCCTTCTAAATAATCTTCCATCAAAAACTTATTTTTGATGCTCATTGTCTCTAAATTGACAAGCCCGGATCTACGGGCGTTACAATTATCTCCCCCTTAGGATGATTACGTCCCAGAATCATCAACGAAACAGGGCTCACATGATGACTCCATACGTTATCTCTTCATCCTTAGTAATAATTGTAACTTCTTTGTTTCTTCGAACGAGTATCTAACTCTAAGACTTCCTGACTACAGGCGGTGCCCGATCTTGGACCCGCTCCCTATCTCACGTTGGACTCCAATTTATGATCTTCAAGTCACAATC